AGTGAAGCCCTGTCGGGAAAGGAATCTTCATGAGCTGCTAGAAGGGCCTTGGTCATCATGATGACCCATGAAGCCTGTCTTGAAGCCCCTTCGGCAGCATTTAAGTCAGGGTCGCATTGGTCTTTTCCCCTATGCGTGTGATACCTAAACTACGTCGGTTAATGCTTAAACTACGTTGTTTTACTCAGTCTAAGCTTAGTAAACTAGTCAGAAACTACCCAGAACCCTCATTCTCCAAAAAATTACCCAACTTGGAGCGAAAAGAAGAGGAAAAAGTTGACCGCTTCTCCCAAGAACAAGCAGGAGTGTTCTTCGAAGTTCAGCCCTGAAATCTAAAGGATTTCTCCATAGATTTTGTCACCAGGTATGTGGGATTTCACTAGTGAGTTTCTTTCACCCATTAGGTCCCTAGAATTCAGTCAGTTCTTTGATTCCTCATAAACTGTTCATACCTAGGGTTTACCCTACGGAGTTTTATTAGTCTAAGTCAGAAGGGGATCTACAAGAGCTTCTCGATGACATTTAGAAGGTAATAGACATTATAAGTGTCACTCTATTTGAGAGTGCAAATTTGGCCGCCTATTTGTTGAAGGGACTGGCCTACTTGGTATTAGCAGTGGAAGGAATCTCTTGGTACTAATACAGGTCCAAAAACTCTCTCAGAATGCCTTCTCAGTCTCTACTCTAGTTGGTGACCCTATTATAGCTAGACGGGTCATGAAAGTATCCTATAATACCATTGGAAATTTATTGGAGCAAGTGTGACTGGAGGGGATCTTTTCTGATTCATTTGATATTGTTTTATTAAGTTAACTGGAATTCTGGACTTCCAAAATGTGGTACTAGATGTACCCAATCTTCAGGTGCAACATTGTTTGGTGGATGAGACAATCTATCCTTATCAGTTTTATAGCGCAAGTATTTAGCATGCAATCGAGTCTTCCATGCTCTTAAAAGTCTTTGCATTGTACTGATCACAAAACCTCGCAACACATGTTCTTGTCTACCACCCCCAATTTCAAATTTATCCTAAAACAATCATGTAGATTTAAATTTTCTATTCTATCAACATAATAAATATATAATCTAAATGTCTATATAACAACAGAGGTGACTTATTACCTTCACCTTCAACCATATCACTTCTCCATATTTAGCAAAAATAGTTGACCAATTACCATCTCTTAATGAAATAGTGCTCCTTACTGTTAAGCCACAATAATTGACAATATCCCTAGCTCTGCTACCTACAGCTCTTTCAATGTCCTCTGGAATGTCCACGATAATTTTTCCACCGTACTTGGTTTTCATATCCACTGACATAGATTTATATCTTGCCCTTCCTTTCTTCTTTGTAATGGCGCAAGAAGCTGTGAATCAACAAATACCATGGTCACATAGATTCAAAATCAAGTTGAGAATATTAAAAAGTTGTATCACTTCATGCAATGCAAATGAATTCTACTGTATTTGGATAATAGTGTATTAGTTAATAATGCAAATGTTGAATATAAGGTCTGGCTTAGGTTAAAAGATGGAGTAAATTTTCTCTGGATAAAGTAAATTCACATCTTATGTCGAAAGAGATGCAAGAAACATACCTCCACCGCTATTTAAATTCTCTGAAGAGGGATATGAACTTCCTTCCAAGTTCCTTGATATTTGTGTCTCTATAGAGGTCCGGTGACTTGGTTCAAGATTCCTTGTCAAGGGTGCCTCGGACGGTTCATCAAGATTAGGTGTCAATGTTGAATTGACATTACTTAAGTATGATGTTGTAGAATTTTGATTCCTTCCTTCAATATTTCCACATCCATGACCCTTTCAACCTCAACCTCGTCCAAATGCCATTTCTTGAAACATCACACAAAAGTAGTAAGCGTAGATTCACATTTAGTTATTGAAAACAAGAAACATAAATAACATTTTAAGTACTATTAACCATAGTGATACTTTTGTTTGTTCAAATGATTATAAACAAAATTCTCTTTTACCAAAACAACTCAAATATAGTTCATTGCGATTGATGTCTTTTCTCACTACATTTTATTTTCTTCTATGTCAGTGTCATCTCCAGCATCATCATTATCAAGTACATCTTATTCATTTTCTTCTTTTATGAACACATCTATATTATTTTAATAATGAGATTGGCATCCTCATTATGCATTCTAATTTTAACTTGCTACGTATACGTCCGACAAATAAAAATTTTAGTTCGACATTATTTCTAAACAATGACACACAAAAGCTAGGAAAGAAAATCCTAACTCGAGCATTGTCAGCTGTCATATTGCCCTTTCTTTTCCTAACTTAAAATATTATCTTTGAATGTTAATTATGTCAAAATGAATATACAATGAACTCAGTTCTCATGAATACATAAAGTATAATTTTTTTTGTACATGTTCCTTTGATAGACTGACTGCAAACTTTCCACTCTGACTCCCCCCCGCCTTCCTTTTCTCTCTTTCTTTTGGGCTATTTATAGTTTTCCAAAATTTGGCCCAAAATTCACATCATGACCAACTCAGCTATGTTAGTCGAGCTCACCTTTCATGATCGGCGGATCGTCGTCTGTTCTTTGACTTGTCTTTCTTTTTCTTTAGATTTCAGGTGTTTGAATCTCAGTTGGAGATCTTGTTTGAGTCTTCCTTTCATACTCGGTGGATCGCCGAGTACCACCTTAGTTCACTTTTTAAGCCTTCATATTTTATCCAAGTTCTGTCACCTTCGGCAATGGTCATTCAGTTCTCCCATTACAATCGGAGAGTCGCTATTTCATTATTTAGTTCGCCAACTTGTCTTGACACATTCAACTGTGAGCACTGTCAATTTAGGCGAGGTCGTGCCAGTTAGGCGATCCACCCTTTTGGTTAGACGACTCACAATGTGGAGTTTACACTTCTTTCAATGTTTTAGGCCTTTCTTGAAAGTATTCATCCTCACTTTGTCCTTTAGCCTTCATACTTACAAATCATCAAAATATGACATAATTAGGCATTAAGGACATCAATTATTGAACTAAAAAGACCTCAAAGGAGTGTAATCCACCACTCGTCAGTTGGCTTACCTACCGGTGGATTATAGTAAGTGTCATCGTGACTCAAGGATCTCAACGTGATGTGCTTTTCTAGAGATGTCTCGCTAGACCAAATCAAACATGATCTCTTGGAAACATACTAAGATAGCAAACATCAAATTGAATCTCAAGACATTAATTAAATCCATAAAAGTAAAATATATAAAATTACTTATAATTTTCACGGTTTTACACGATAGCAAGTAGAGACTAAACTTGTATCGCTATTATGGGTCATCTTATGCATATATGGTATGAAATATGTACCACAATACTGACTCCTTTCCCATGAAGCGTATGTTTTTTATATATTAAATATTGTGCCGATGATAGTTCCAACAACTCATGTTTAACTTTCAGCTCATAAATCTACTCAATCATTTTATTCTTCAAAACTCACATCTTGCCTTAGAAATAGACTAATTCATTTTTATCACATATGATTAAATAAAAACTAACCAACGACATTTTCATTATAAACTTTCAACTCTCTTTTATTATCATTTCCGACAATAGTTAGTCTATAAGTATCTCATTTCTACTTGTCACATCGACAATAAAGGTGATTTCTTATGCAAATAGACCAATTTTATTTTGTCTACTATTCGACATAATTTTAATTCTCAAAAATTTATGTACACTCGACTTTGAGGTAGGCTAAGGTCTACTTTTCTTGATTATGCTCTATTAGGTAAAGTTTAGTATGAATTGCATGTGATTTAGTATTTGCATATTTCGGGTTTAGAATCCTTCCACTACTTCCATTTCTATTGATCTCGCAGACACTTTCGGGATAGTCTTGAGTGCAGGACCCCTAATTTAGGTTAGTATCCCTTGCTCATAGTGTAGTTTGTGAACTTATCCTCGTTAGGATTGATACTTCAGACCTTAGTTTAGTTTGTGACTTAAATGGTTTAGAATGCATTTTAGCGATCCTTTTAGTTATTTGTTGCTCCCTATAATACGTGTTACAATTTTTGGTACCTTCCATTAGTGCTTGGGCCTTAGTTGCTTGTCATTGCCGTAGGTTGGCATTAGTTAGGCTTGGTTGTCGTTGGATAGTATGTTCGGGATAAGACGCCGATCCTTGAAGTGTTCCCCGTTGAATTGTTTGAACTCATCATTATTTCCTTTGTTTCATGAATACTAATGAACTTGTCATGTTGAGAATGTTGGTATATTGTTGGGCTCGAGGACTTGGTCGAGAACCAGCTGAATTTCAAGTTTGGTTTCCTTTGTGTTGTGAGTGTGGTAGTATTAGTAGTATTTGTAGTTATTTAGCTGGTATTGTTTGAATGTTGGTGATGTCATGCATTGCATTTACTACATGTTTCACTTATTTAAGATTACAAAATTAAATTTTAGATATATTTATGATATTAAAAATATTATGTGAAAGTTAGAATAAAAAAATTCCTAAAAAAGGGAAAGAAATACTCCCTTTGTTTCAAAAAAAAAATGACTAGCTTTTCTTTATAGTTTGTTTCAAAAAAATGAACTCTTTACTTTTTTGGGCACCACTTTAATTTGAACATTCCATGGCATAACTTTTTTTTTTTTAATTTAAAGAGGGATCAACGACCCCTTTTTTCATTAATGAAAATCAGAAAGTCCAAAAGAACATAACAAAAGAAGAAAATAAAACAAAAGAAAATGGAAAGAATAAGAAAAGAGACCAAGAATTTAGGATCAGAAGATTAAAAAAAATCTTCATAATTTTCTCAATTTCATGTCAAATTAAATTAAACAATTACTTTTCAAACGAAGGGAGTATTATTTTTTCAAGTAATGTTGAATTCAAATATATTTAAGTCATAAAAGAGTGAATTCATTGAAAATAAAATAAAAGAAAGTAGTGTAGGAAAAAATGTGGAGCGAGAAGGAAGGAACAGAAATAGAAAACATAGAGAGAGAAAAGATTAACGGAAAAAAGAAAAGAGAGAATCGGTTGGTATAGAAGCCATTGAAGCTCAATAGCCTCCTCTTCTTTCTTCTTCAACATATATTGATCTATATATTTTTATGTAAAGTGAAACATTTAGAGAGAAAGAGAAGGGAGAGGCTTCTTGGCTTTTTGGTTACCTGTACACACAGATAACCAAAAGCCATGTCAGATTCAAGCAGCGATTCCATTTCCCTCGACGTTGAGACAATCTATCTTGGTGGAAAGGTTCAAATTTTTCTCTATATTTGAGACCCTCTTTCTATAAAATGCTTTTGGTTAATATTTTTTATTTTTATTTTTTTGAAAAATACCACGCACATTTGGTTTGGTTCGATTGAAGATGGATGTAGAAAGGAAATATGAATGACGTTTGCATGCGTAAATTTATTAGGAGAGGAAAATCGTTTTTTTCCCCTTTACCCTTTTTTTTAATGTCATTTAGGGTCATATCCTCTTTGTTGTCTTAAATGTTGTTATAACTCATCCTACACATTTTATTTGGATTGTTCGAAGGAAAATATTTTATTTACAAATTTAAAGGTTCTTGAATCATAGTTCAAGTTTCTATATATTCTGTATATTTCTAGTGTATTGAAAATAACTAGTAACATTTCTATTTATAAAAGTAAGAATCAAATTAAACTAGGATTAGAAACCATACTAACTAACAAATCCTAATTAAATAGTATAAATAAGTAAATATGACAAATAACAAATCATAATCAACTTAGGATTCTTACTTCACTTTGAATTATTATTTCCAACAGTTGAGGCATAAGGATTAGTAGGATAACTTTTTTAGTGAGGGAAATTAGGTGTAAAATGTTGATGAGGCAGAGACAATTCTATTTGAGGCAGGATGAGTTTTAGAGAGAACAATATGTAAAAATAACAAGTTGGGATCTTGTTTAGAATGGACTACTTTCTGTCTACTTGATGATCTTAGTTTACTATTTGCATTTATATTTTACTTCAACAGTCATTCTTTTTACTGGTTTGTATAATTTCCATGGATGAGATACTCTTTACATGATGAAACTTCTATCTTCTCATCAACTAAAATGATGCAAATGACCTTTTTCAGGAGCATATTGTACGTACACGCTATGGTTCTGTGTCGGTTATAGTTTATGGGGACCAAGAGAAGCCGGCACTGATCACTTATCCTGATCTCGCACTAAATCGTTAGTGATAGATTTGTAATCTCTAGTTTCATATATCCCTCTTTTGGGATTTTCTAGCCATGTACTCTTTGATAGCCTATATAGTCTTATGTTATATGTTGACGTTTATTTTTACGCTATATTTTCTCATTTGTCCTTGCAGATTTGTCATGTTTCCAAGGTCTCTTCTTCTGTCCAGAAGCAGCTTCTTTGCTGCTCCACAATTTTTGCATTTACCACATTAATCCTCCTGGGCATGAGGTCTGTGAATTGGCCAAGTTTTATTTCATGAAGTCATATTAGGCTTTCTTCTATTTGTTGTCAAACTGTCTTTTAATAAATTCAATTACTTACATACTTGTCTTCTTGAAATTCCACAAGAGCTCTTGCAGTTGGGAGCTGCAGCAATTTGTTCAGAGAATCCTGTACCATCAGTTGATGATTTAACAGACCAGATACTTGAGGTTCTTAATTATTTTGGGTAATCACTTTAGTTTTGTTTGCCCCTCATGCTTGTCTAAATTCTGTCAATCCCATCTTTCTCTGACACTTTTGACTTATTGGATATCTTTGTTAAGTTGAGGAGCTCTTTCTTACTAATGAATTAATGATGAGATTCTTGCTGTTTTTAGGCTTGGATCAGTGATGTGTATGGGAGTAATTGCCGGTGCTTACATACTCACCTTATTTGCTGTATGTCTTCTCGTATAATACTTTAAATTGGTGGTATGTGGTTGAGCTTCACTAACACGGCTCACATGTCACAGATAAAGCATAAGGAGCGCGTTCTTGGTTTGATTCTTGTTTCCCCTTTATGCAGAGCACCCTCTTGGACTGAATGGTTTTACAATAAGGTATCATTTTATATCATCTATTTACCGTTATGTTGTGAGAAGAAAATTCATTGTATGAAAGAGGAGATTATTGTTAATATAGGTCATGTCAAATTTACTATACTTCTATGGGATGTGTGGTGTTCTGGAAGAGTTTCTGCTGCACCGCTACTTCAGCAAGGTACCCTACATGCATTCCCTAGTGTTTTCACTTGGAGATTTTGTCATGTCTTTTTTACCCCCACCAATTGGATTGAATAAGAAGGTGATTTCAATTGGATCAGGAAGTTCGTGGATCTGCAGATGTTCAAGAATCAGATATAGCTCAAGCATGCAGAAGGGTGAATACCTCCACTGTGTTAGTTTATGATCAATTGTTCAATTTCATTCTTATTCTTCAACTACATATTGTTTTGAGTATATTCTTTTTTCTTGCTTCCTTTAACGTTGCAGTTACTAGATGAGAGGCAGAAGATGAATGTTTGGCGATTTCTTCAAGCCGTTGATGGGTAGAAAACTAGACATTACTTCTTAAATATTTGTATCAATTTTATCATTTGCATACTTGTCAACGCCTCTCTAAGCTTGCTTTTATGAATGAGCAGGAGACCTGATATCACAGATGGATTAAAAACATTGAAATGTCGAACCCTCATATTTGTCGGGGATGATTCTCCTTTCCATTCAGAGGCTCTCCATATGACTTCTAAATTAGATCGAAGATTCAGCGCCCTAGTTGAGGTACGCCATCAATTTTATTTTTAATGACACCCCATTTCAATTTATTGTGAACATGCTATGAATTCCTTGTGTAGTTAAATATTTACTGATAAATTTAGCTAGGCTAGATACTATTTACATATCACTCAACCAACCAACTGTACCTCTCCGTAATTAGTTGGGTCAGTTATATTACTCTATATCTATTCCGCTTTATTTAGTCAATACAAAATTTGCCTATTAAACCAAATTAGGTGCCTTCAAATCTTACTCATGTGTACACACTACACGGATAACTAGTTTTAACCCCTTTCAGTTGGTAGTGCCTAAACGGATCATTTGCTGTTCTTGGTTGTCGTAAATGCAGCAGAATATAGGGAATAAGGAATGAGTATGATTGCAGGTACAAGCGTGTGGATCTATGGTGACAGAAGAGCAACCACATGCTATGTTAATACCAATGGAGTTTTTCCTCATGGGGTATGGACTATACAGACCAAATCAGTTCAGTGGCAGCCCTAGAAGTCCTCTCAGTCCATCTTGCATTGCTCCTGAACTTCTCTCCCCAGAAAGCATGGGCTTAAAACTCAAGCCTATCAAGACTCGGACTGCATCCAAGATGCACGGTGCATAAAAATAAATACTGAATTCTATTTAAACCTTGTAAAATTTAAAATCCCTATACTTTTAATTTCTGGTTAGTTTTTGGGGGGATATTTAAGGGTCAAACGGAGGGTAGATATGGATTGTAGATAGGAAAGTGAAATTCTTTAATGGACATAGGGAGGGAAATATTGTTATTCATTCATTGTAGGCAGAAAGAACCATAAAAGATATTGTTATTCTGATTTCTTTTCTTGATAAAAAATATATTGCTATTCTGAGTTGTAATTGCAAATCATAAAGGAGACATTTGTGCATGATTATGATGAATGATGAGTAATATGACAGCAAATGAGGTGGTGATTAATATTTTTTTTTATGTTGGATGACTACCTTCCTATCCAACAATCTCAATATAATCCCCATAAAAGTGGAGTTTGAGAAGTATGCACACATCTTACCCTTACCTCGGAGGTAAGGAGGTCGTTTTCGATAGATTCTCGGCTCAAAGGAAAAAATAGTTCAAAGCAATCCAGAAAAAGATGTAATAGAAGTAAAAGAAAATAGGACAGTAACTACAATAAAATAATATGATAGTTGAAATACAAGAAAATAAATAATAATAGAAATCAAAGAATCAGAAACTATTGAAGTAATACTGCAACTACTAGTATGGATGGATAACTAGACAACACACTACTACATAGTAGCCTTCTATCATAATTTGTGTCCTTCACAACCTCCTATCTAAAGTCATGTCATTGGTAAGTTGAAGTTCTGTCATGGCCTGTCTAATCACATCTTCCCAATACTTCTTCGACCTACCTCTCTTGAAACCATCCATAGTTACCCTCTCATACCTTCGCATTGGGAACATACAAACATCTCATCATATGCCCAAACCTCCTCAGTACTATGCTTCCAACATCTTTTCATCCACCGAAACCACTCTCATCTTGTATTAGATATCCCCATTTTTAATTTTATCTCTCCTACTATGCTCACACGTCCTCCACAACATCCTCATCATTATTTTAAAAGACCATGTTGGGACTCGCCTCGGAGCGTGGCACTAGCAAAACACGTACTGAGACTCAAGTGTGAGACTTAGTTCTGTTAGACTTACACTCTAAGCCCCGATTGTACCCCCTAAGCACGTCCAATGCCCAACATTCGGGGCTCACCTAACAAATCTTACACAAATTATGTGTTAAATTCTTTAGTTAATTGTTGACCCTCATAATTCTTGAATAAATGAATGATACTTAATAGTTTTTTTAATTTATAGAAATAAGAAGATTGAGATTCACTGAATTAACAAGTTGTAGTATCACATATTTACTATTTGGTAACATTATGAAGGTGATCATAAATTACGTAACATTTCTTTTAAAAATTCATAGCGAAATTTTTACTTTTTACTTATCATTGGTATTCATGTTTTTGTAATATGCCTAAAAAAATATCATATTTTATTTAACTATTTGAAAGTAATTTTATTTTTATTCATTATGGAGTGATGTTTTTATTATAATACTAGTAAGTTTTATTGATTATTTTCTTTGTTTTTTTTTTTTTTTTTTTTGGGGGGGGGGGGGGGGGCTGTAAATTGTATAGTATGATAATAATATATTTTTAGAAATAATGATTCTTTTATGATTAGAAAGTTAAGATATTTGATTATTTATACCATGTTAGAAGTTTTATTTTCTATGAGTTTCCTTGATCATGCTTGTAATTATTTCAAATTATTGATGTATTTTTATACTTTTGTGTTATTATATTATCACATTATATATTATAAATTAAAATTTTAAAGATCCATAGAGATTACGCCCACGTCTCAAGGCTTACGTCACGCCCTATGCTAAGTAAAACGTCCCGGCTCACGCCCCCGCCTTTTAAGACACTGATCCTCATGTATGTAACTTTCAACTTTTGAACGTGAGAGTTTTTAATTGATCAACACTTTATCTCATACAACATGATTGGTTTACCACTTTGTAGAACTTGCCTTTGAAATTTAATGGCACCTTCTTATCACACAACACTCTGGATGAGATCCTCCATTTCATCCACCATGCAACAATGCGGTAAATGACATCATTGAAAATAGACCAAAGATACTTGAACTTCCTCTCTTTTGAATGATATGTGTATCAATGCACACTTTCTAATCCACTTTATGTGTTACATCACTGAACTTACACTCCAAGTATTATGTCTTGGTTCTCCTCAATATAAACCTTTTTACTCCAAAGTCTGTCTCCAAATCTCCAGCTTAGCGTTAATTTTGTCGCAAACTCATCAATCAAAACTATGTCATCTAAAAATAACATACACCATGACACATCACATTGAATTTGTCGCGTTAATACATGTATAACCAATACAAATTAAAACAAGCTAAGGGCTTATTCGTGATGCAACCCCATCAAAATTGAAAAGTCATTTGAGTCTCCTTCCACTGGCCTTACCCAAGTCCTTATCCCCTACTACAATATATTAAAAATGGTTTTAGAAAGGGAACACTTAATATGTGAAACCATAAAATCATTGTTATAAGGCTTTATAAGATAACAAAACAATATTTGGATTCACCATTACTATCGTTATTGAACATACACGCGCATACAATAATCATGTCCACAAACAATGTATACAACCATATATTGGTTGGAATGGAATGGGTTGTAGTTTTAAAGGCAATTTGATACATTAAGCTTTTATTGTGTGTAATCATGTAAAGGATCAAACTAATATTCCATTTGTAGTAAGAAGCATCAACCTTGCATGTTCACTAAAGACTAAATTTGTGGCCTCAAGTCTCTAACCTCTGGATATGAAGTAAGTCAAAAATGTTAAAAGCGAAAAAGCTACACGTATTATGGAGAATAATGTGAGTTGATAGTGTTATGTACTGGGACAATGTAAAGTTTTGATGATTAACGAACGAGTGACTAAACATAACAAAGAAACACATAACAATCAGGTCCTTTACATGTCTCAACATAGATGAGTAGTGTTCAAGAAAAGATATATCACGAGGAACCAATTCCTATCTAGATCTACAAAAGAAGAGTTGGTACTATTGAGAATGAAATATATGTTTATTTAATGTGTCGCGACGTTAAATAAAATGTTTATTGGAGAAAATCCAATTGTAGTAGTATAGTTTTTAATTTTAATGTAATTTATTTTTATAAATAGTGTAATGTTTGTGTTGTTTATGATGTGTAGATTAGGAGAAGTTTGATTACTCAAAATTAAAGCTAAGGATCACATTTAGTCAGATGTGTGTGGTCGTGCGACTTTATGGAAATTAGAAGAAACATGTTTTAGCCAAGCCCGAGAGTGCCTCCGAGAGTATCTCTATTCCTTGTTTTAATTTTTACGATAACTTACTTTGAGGACAAAATATTATTTTATGTGTGAGGTGAGAGAACTTTTGATAAATTATTTTATCTAACCTAGTTTGGGTTCTCGATTTTTATTTTTGGTTCGTTTTTCAAGGATATTGCCATTGAATCGGGAGATTATTATTTTTAGGAGTATATTGTTATAATATTGTTAGGAGAAAATAAAAGTAAAGACCCTTTTTGACTTAGTTGATACTAGCATATTTGGAACAACGTTTGAGTAGTACTTTCCTGTGAATATGTTTGGTTTTACAAAAACAACAAACTTTTTGGCATAGGTCCATAGTTGTGACTCTATATATGACTTGTCATATTGTAGTTCTCTTTGACATTGTCTAATCTAAAAAGTAGAATTGATCCATCTTGATTGATACTCAAGTAATGTGAAGTGAGAAATTCTTGCATATTCCATATTTTGCATTTTAGTGTGGAACATGTCTTGTATGTTATTAATGCGAAACAAAAAGTGTTGCCCGGTTAGAAAATGATATATAATAGACTTTCTTTGATGTCTTGTTAAACTTTAGCCTTTTCAAATATTATATCACTAGTTATCCCTTTGAACTTGTCACATTTCGTTTGGTACTTGCATTCTTTTCCTTGAACATTTTGTTGAATTTCTAATTATTCACCATGCTTTCTTGAGAATTGTAGCATAGTTTGTGACAAAATTGACTAAATGTGAATAAAATGGACGGTGGAGTGAAAATGGTGTCTAATGATAGTTGCAAAGTGATGAAAAAAATAATTTAGAAATAACGTTATATAAAAAAAGGTATATAAAGAAAAATATTTGATATAAACAATAAGTGAAACATTCTTGATATCATGAGAAGAACCGGTGACAATAGTTGATGAAGAAAGGACCGAAAATTATTGATGAAAGAAAGAAAGAAAGTAAAGAAATGAAAATAATGGGTGATGAATTCTTAGGAAAGTGTTAGTCACCACTTTATAATTTTTCTACCCGTCCGTTAGCCAACATTACAACCTGTTGAAATTCCTATTGATCTTATCTGAGCTATGCTTAATTAGTGGAGTTATAACTCCAAATGTCCACTTTAAAACCAATTAAAAGGGACAATGGTCGTAGTCAATAAAAAATCCAACTAAGAATCGGGATCGAATCCCACAGGGAATGGTATATCGTAGAGAATTCTTACCAAAAAATTTGGATTGTAAAATCATTCTTTTGTCATAGTAAAATCAAGTGGGTGTATGATTCCACCAATTTAATGAAAAGCTTTGGTTGAATTAACAAGCAATCAAGGGGTGCGGGGATTGAAAATCAATGTCACATTGGGATAATTGTGCTGCTTTATAGTGATGAACATTCATGAATAAGCTAAGTCATCTTCAATGATGCTAATCTTATTTTGATCTCATAACATCCTTGCATAGAATCTCCTTTAGAACTCATAGCATCCTTGCATAGAATCTCCTTTCAATCTCGTCTATATGGCAAAGTATAGGATGGCCCTGACAACGTGAGACGAAACGTTGTATCATTGCCAGGCTCATGGTAATGGCTATCAGTTAGAGAAACTCCCCACAAAGTACAATATATTATTTTCATGTTGCTTTCATTGTATATCTTATTGTAAAGCTTAAATGGTTTTTACTTCATATTCATGGATTGATCCAGTTATGTTGTTTTCAATCGTTCAAGCTAGTCAGTTGTTTACTCTAACCTTATCACATACTCATACACTCAATGTACTGATGTCATTCGACCTACATTGTTTCATGATGTAGATACAGGTGTTCAAGATCATCAACAGGTGTTTCGTTGAGGTCATTTGAC